CTAAGCACCGGACCCGCCTCCAGATGCGACCTAATATTCCGGAGCCCCCTCCTCGACGGGGAGCCTCAGTAAACCGGACCCTCTGAGCTCCAATCCAAAGAAAGCGCCCCAATAAACCGGACCCCTCCCGTTACAAACGGGCGCCTTCAAAAGCCAGACCCGGGGGACGAGAAGGGATTTGGAGCAAGTGGGGATGCTGTGTCAGCGCAGCGCATGCTTCGTCTTTGTCGCGCCCGTCGGAAGTGTTGCCGCTCCCGCTCCTGCGCGACCCGCGCCGTGCTCTCTTCGCCAGGGTCATGGAAGCGGGGCCGCGCGCAATAGGATGCTAGGTTATTGTGGGGAGGGCGGGGGTGAGCGGGCCCCTCCTACTCGCTCGACCTGGCCAACTTGACCTTCTGGGGCTGCCCTCAGGCCTGCCCTAGGCCAACCCCTGGGATCCGAGGGTAGGGCTTCCTTTGGCTTCGCTATTGCCCAGGGTCGGCCCTGCTCAAGGGTACCGCCAAAGATAGGGCCTACCATGGACTTCCCCAAGGCGTCGGGTGGGGCCTAGGGTAGCCGAGGCTCTGAAGGTTAAAAGTCGTATTGGGGGGCCCTCCGCCCGTTCTGCTGCCTTTGGGGGCCCTATCGGGGCCCTCTAGGGCCTTCTTGGGGCGATCTTTGGGATCGTCTGGGGCCATCTTTGAGCGTGGGCTAAAACCTTTGACAAACCAGTTGTCAACACATCATGTCTGCTTCCGCGTGTCTTCCCGGAGCCCTCTTGGGGCGTCCCGGGGGCCTCTTGGGCCCATCCTCGGAGCCGCCAGGGGTCGTCAGGGACCCATCTTCGGGCCGTCTGGACCCGTGTTGAGCCTCCGGTAACGATGCTGAACCACATAGGGCCGCCCGGGAGCCTCCCGAACGCCGAGGGGTGCCGCCGTGGCTTGCGGTCTGCGCTCCCACAGGAGAGCTTTCTTTTCAGGCTATTGCAAGCCTTCTCGTCTGCTTAGCCTGCCAGTCTTGTTTTTCGGGGGCGGAAAAGAGGGGGTGATGACCAGGGGGGAGTGGATATCATGGCGTGGGCTGTGATATTTCCCCAGATTTAATGTCGCCTCTTCTTATTCCATTACGTCCCTGGCCCCCCCGCTGGGCCGCGCACATGCCGCCGGCCAGATTTGCACCCCCCCCTCTTGGACACCCCCCCTCTTGGCCGCTCCCGAGTTTTACGAAGCCAAACCTTTCGGAGTTGAACACGGCCCGGGCCCGCAGGGGGCCCGCCGTATTGAGCCCGCAGAGGGAGTTACGGCGGTACCCCCCGAGGGGAACTTCCGCACGCCGACGAATGATGTCTTGGCGGCGTTGGGGCGTACTGGGGTCTTCTGGGAGGCTAAGGAGGGGAAAAACACAGACACAATTAGTCGTCGATCCCCCCAGAAAATATGGGAACATGTGGGAAGTGGGGGGAAGACAAAAACCCAGAACATATACGAAAATATGGCGAATCCTGTTATGTGTGTGTATTTATTTGTGTGTCCCAGGGCCCCTTCGGAGGCCTCTTGGGGGCCTCCTGTGAAGTTTTTAGTGTCCTGTTGGGCCTTGCTGGAAGCTTTCGGCAGGGGGGGTGTTGGGGCCTCTTGGGTGGCATCCTGTGAGGAAAGACCTGAAGTGATGGCCCGCGTTCCCCTCCACAGCCACTGTCGCTCAGGGCTCACGTCACTCTGGTTATTGGATCTTTTGATCGATGACTCACCCTTAGTTTTCCAAACGCTCGACACGCGCGTCCGGCTCAGGAACAGTTTTTTTGGCGGAGGAAGTTTCGTTGCGGTGTGTATCACGGTCAGTGTGCAGCTGGTGGTTCACGTCGGTTAGGTCGAGAAGGGCCGGGGAATTATTTGTTGAGGATGTCCCGAGCGAAACGTTGGTTCATGAAATTCCGAACGGTAGAATACAGTGAAAGTAAGCATCCGCGTTTGCTGCGGATGTCTCGAACGAAACGCTTGTGTTGCATAAATTGTTGAGGATGTCTCGAGCGAAACGTTTGTTTTGAGCTATAGATCGTTGTTCTCATGTGGGCCAGAATTCAGAGGAATGTCTCAGGTGAAATGCTTGTTTTCGTGTGCCCTGGTCCTAAGGATGTCTCGAGCGAAACGCTTGTTTTGTAGAACTCGAGCGGCCTGGACGCCCCAGGATGCCCGCCCAGGTGGTTCTGGGAGCCCGAATTCAACCTAATTTACTAAGGAACGTGGCCTCCATGCGAAGTAGGGATTCCATGCAAGGGTCGTGAGCCTGCTGCGCGGCAACAGCGTCGTCGTCGTGAGAAGCAGCTGGTGCTTTCGCTCAGCAGACACAAGATGAGTTTTTGTTCGCACCTTGGTGAGCGCGCGTTCGCGAATCGAAACGGGACACGATGCTGCGTTGGACCTTTCCGAGCAGGGCTTGAGAGAGACGTCGGCAGTCTTGTATCTGACCCATATTTGATAATGAAGGTCGTGCAGCACATGGGAATTGAGCACGACTCCATCGTGCGCAGCGCGTTGGACGAATTGTTGGCATCCCCTGACGTTTTCACAACAGTAATGGCTCAATCTGAAAGCTGTTTGCGTGGTAACCCTATCCTTGAAGCCTTCGTACATATGCTTCTGGAACATGGAAGCAGTCGGCCCGCATTCACACTGATTCTCTCGCGCTTGGTGTCCATTTGCATTGAATCGTTTCGCTCATTCCGCCGGCCCGTACTGTGCCGTCGCAGGCGTTTGCTTGCTCGTTCGCGGCCTCTTGGGGGCTTTGAAGGGGTTCCTTGGGGGCCTTTCTAGGCCTCTTGGGGCGCTCTTGGGGCCTCCTGGGCCCCTTCTCGGGGCGGAAAGCTTGAATTGTCGGTTCGCGGTTTCCTTCGTGGGCCACAATTGGAGCCGTCGCGGGGCGTTTTTGGGCTCTCTTGGGCGCCTCCTGGGCCGTCTTAGGGCCCTCGTGGGCCGTCTTGGGGCCCTCTGGGGGCCCTCTTAGGGGGGCCTCTTGAGGCGGTCTTTGAGGCCTCTGGGGCTCTTTTCGACCGTCGGAAAGCCGAACGGGCGAGACGGCCGACAACTTTGAGAAACCGATCGAATAGATGTTACCTATCGTCTCCCAATCCCAAGGCCCTCTTCGGAGGCCTCTTGGAAGACCTCTCGGTCCGTCCTGGAGGCTAAATTAGAGGGAGGAGGGAGGAGGGAGGAGGGAGGAAGGAGCGTCTCGCGGCCCTCTTGGGCGGCTTGGGGTGAGCTGCAGGTGCCTCGGGCCCCTCGTGGGCCCCGCTCGATCTCGTCGTGGGGCGTCCCCGGGCCTTCCTGTGCGCTTTGGGCCGTCTCGGGGCCCTTCTCCTCCTCCTCCTCCTCCTCCTCCTCCTCCTCCTCCTCCTCCTCCTCCTCCTCCTTCCCCCCCTCCCTCCTCGCCCTCCTCCCCTCCTCCTCCTCCTCCTCGCCCTCCTCCTCCTCCTCCTCCTCCTCCTCCTCCTCCTCCTCCGGCTGAGGCCGTCTTGGGGGCGTTCTTGGAGGCCTCGTGAGCTCTCGCAGACAGACAGACAGACAGACAGGAGCCGTGCCTAGACGGCGCATCGGTTGCAGCTCTGGTGCACGTACAATCGCACTCCAGGTCCAGATGGGATCATGTATAAATCTGCTCGGTCATGCCCGACACCGCCAGGGGGGTGGACGACCCGGAAGAGCAGCGGCAGCAGGGGGCAGAGGAGGGAACGACGCCCGGGACCAGGACAAACCCAGAGCCGGGCCCTCGTGGAGCAAGGCTGAAAACTTCCAAACAGGAGAAAATATAATGATTTCTGTCTCGTGGGGACCTCTTGGGAGAGGCCTCTGGGAAGCCTCTTGGGCCGTCTTGGCGGCCTCTCGGGCCACCTCGAGGCCATCTTTGGTAGCCTGGGGCGATCTTGGGGGCGGCTCCGGCCTCGCTTGGGGCCGTCTTGGGGCGCTCTTGGGCCCGTGTGGCCGCCTCTTGGGCCGTATTGGGCCATCGTGGGGCCATTTTGGCAGCCTCGCGGGCTGTGTTGGGGCGGTCTTTGGAACGCCAGAAAGCCGAAAAGGCAAGAAGGTTGAACAAATACAGAAACCTTAAGGATATGGATGATGATGACGATGATGATGATGATGATGATGACGATGGCGATTATGATGGCGATGGCGATGATTGTCTGTCTTGCGACGATGCTTATCGTGATGGTGGTGGTTGTGATGCTGAGGATGGTGGTGATGATGATTATGCTGCTACTGATGGTGATTGGATTAGGATGCTGATGCTTCTGCTGGTGCCGATGCTCACGACGATAGAGCTGTTACGTTTGATGATGATGGTGATGACGAATATGTTGATGATGATGCTGAGTATGGTGATGATGAATATGATGGTGATGCTGCTGTTGATGATGATGATGATGATCAGGATGATGACCATGGTGCTGATGATGATGAGTCTGATGATGGTGAGCATGATCATGATGTAAACTAAGGTCAGGATGATACTGATGATGATGATGATGATGACGATGACGATGATGATGATGATGGTCGTGATGGTGACGCTGATGGGGATGGCGATCGCGATGTTGTAGGTGATGCTGAGATGAGAATGATGAGAATGATGATTACAGCGATGACGATAACGATGATGCTGATGATGTTGATGATGACCATGATGATGATGATGATGATGATGATGATGATGATGATGATGATGATGATGATGATGATGATAGCCATAATGATGCTGCTTCTGCTGCTGATGATGATGCTGATGATGATGATGATGACGATGCTGGTGCTGCTGCTGATGATGAGGCTGACGCTGCTGCTGATGATGATGATGATGATGATGATGATGATAATGATCGTAGTAGTGACGACGATGACGATAATGAAGGTGGATGAGAAGGCGGAGGCGAAGGAGGAGGGGCCGATGGAGGGTGAGGAGGGATGCAACGAGCAAGGGAGCAAGGGCACGGAGAGGGGTGGCCGTCCTCTCGAGCATTATCGGCACAGGCGATGGCGCCAAGAAGAGTCACCATGGTGGTGCACGCGTCGAACCCCGTGCAGGTGCAGAAGGCCCGCTGGCCGCCGGGGCGATGCCAGCGTGACGATCCTCTTCGTCCTCCTCGCCCCCCTCAGACCTGGGCGTCTTGACAAAAATACGACTGGCGTTGCCCCGTTTTGGGTTTCGAGACCACGATGGATCGATCTGGCTCGGGAGAGGATGCGTTCCGTTGTGGTCGAGGGATTCGGTTGCATGTTTCAAGACGAGGTATGCTGCACGAAGTCGGATCTCGGGGATTTCGGCATCCCATCTCTTGGCTTTGTCCCGTCCCCTTCCTTCTCCTCTCCTCCGTCCCTTGGTCCATCCATCCCCTCCCCGTCCACCCCTCGTCTTTCCCATCTCTTTTCCCTGACGTCCTCATCCTCGGCGTCGTCCTCGTCGTCGTGCTCCTCGCTTGTGTTCCACAACGTCGGCTCGGGCATATTTCGGCCTTAGAGGCCATGCCTCTCTGCTGGAGCATCGGCTGCAAAGCCGTGGCTCTCGCCACCAGCTACCCAGCCGATAGATTCCGCCACCTCCTCGCCGCTTCCCGCCTCCTCGTGCCCCCCATACCCCATGCTCCTCCTCCTCCTTCTCCTCCTCGGCCTCCTCCTCCTGCTCCCTCTCCTCCTCCTCCCTCCTCCTCCTCCGCCTCCTCCTCCTTCTCCATCGTCCTCCTCCATCGTCCTCCTTCCTCCTGCTCCCTCTTCCTCTCTCTTCCTGCTCGTGCCAGTTTGCGATCATCCGCTGCTCCTGCGCGCTGACCCGCGTCGCGATGCCGATGCCTCAAGGACTTTGTGTCGGCGGCAGGGCCCGCGGTCCCGCACGCCTTCTCGCGTCGAGCCGCCACGAAGGCGCTCCGGGGGCAGCCTGGTGGTCTTTTGCACGTCTGGCGGCGCAGCGGTTTGTGCAGCCACGCAAGTTGCCGGGTGTTGCCAGAAGTGCCCCTGGCCAAGATGCCCCCAGCTTTTCGCTCCATCTCAAAGCCCCTGGGGTCCTCTGGGCCTCGTGAGGGGTGCCCTGGAGGCCGCCTGGGCCACCCCGAGAATCCTGGGGGTTCCTTGGGCCAGGGACACTTCTGGCAACACCCGAAGACTTGGCGCTGCTGGTCTGGGCTCCCGCGGCTGCGCGCAGCGCCCAGATTCGCGATCCACAAGCGTCCTTGTTTGGACGCTGGCTGGCGGCAGTGGCAGCTATCGTGCGTCCGCAGCTTTCCAGGTCTCCTAGAGGGGGTCGGAGTAGGTGGGGTCGGAGGATGCCGCCGCATCGCTGATGCATCGCCGATGCTGCTCGATGTGGAGCCCGATTTCGTTCACGTCGACGTCACCGATGCATCGCCGACGTCGACGCCTCATCGCTGGTGCATCGCCGATGCATCGCCGATGTATTGGCGATGCGACGCGGTCCTCCGACCCCATCTACTACGACCCCATCGAGGAGCCCTCTAAGATTGCAGCCAGCGCGCCCAGTAAGGACGCGCGCCTGCATCTAGGTTGCTGTTGTGTTCTTGCCTCTGCGGCCCGTCCTCTGCCGTTATCATTGCCCCCCCCCGCCGAAACAATCCCAAGTGCGGCCTCCAAGGGTTTCACGACGTCTTTACCCCTCCAAGGGTCTTGCGTCTCTTACCACCCAACTTCACTGCACGTTTCGATGCATGCACGCCTGTCCCCGTCGCGAGGCTGCTGCTCCGAGGACAGCCTGGCGACAAGGTCGGCGGTCCTCCACAGTCTCGCGTCTACCCGAACAAGCAAGGTCAGTCTCCTTTTCTGGGCGCTGGCTGGCGGCGGCGTCAACCATCGCGCATCCGCAGATCATGCGCGCTTGCCCCAGTCGCGAAGCAGTTGCCTCAAGGGCGCAACCCCTTGCGCGTTTTCACATAAAACCGGGACCAAGGTTCGTCCCTTTTTGGACGCTGGCTGGCGGCAGTGCCAGCTATCGCGTCACGCGGGACTCAGTTCGCGGGCCAGGCCAGCCGGCATGCGATCCCAGTCCGCGCGCATGCCGCGACGTTGCGCGGCCGCGCAGCCCCGCCGTCATGTCCAGCAGCAAAGCCGCAGAACGCGCGCTGCGCGGCCGCGCCCCCATGGCGACTCGCGTGCCGAAGCGCGGCACGCGCGCCTGCGCGACGCCGCGCCTCACCGCGCGGCGCAGCGCAGCGCGCATGCGCGCGACGCCGCGACGACAGGACACGTGCGCGCCTGCGCCAGGCGCGGCGCCGCCGCAAGCGCGCCGGCACCCAGGCCAGACCGCCAGCTTGCATTTTTGCGACGGCCTACCTGGTCTCGACACGCATGTGCACTGCTAGTGCACGGCCACATCCAGCAACCACACCTGCAACAACAACATTGCACGCCTGCGCACGGCACATGAAGCAGTTCGATCACAGCGGATACCACAACGACGACCACACCGCCGTCCACAGCGGGCGCAACAAAGGCGACGACCACACCTTTGACCGCGGCAGGCGCTGCTACAGTGGCGGCAGCGGCTCTGACCACGTCGATTTCAAACGGTGCGCACCACCGTTTGGGATTTCATGGGCCACGCGATCATTGGTGCCACCGCGCCATCGCTGGCGCTCCGGCTGCTGCGACGCCCTCACCGCCAGCTTCGCTAACATCAGCCAGAGCAGCTCGCCAAGGTGGATCTACGCTCTACGCGTCGATCTGGGACCCCGTGGGGGAAGCGCGGGCGAGGCGCAAGCCGGGCCCCGCTGACATGGCCGAAAAAAAGAGCCACGCTTTGTAGACGCCACGTTCGTCGCCACCACGCAGCACGCAACGAATCGACGCCGGTGCGATCGTCGCCACTGGGGTCTTCAGCTTCAACTCCAGACGAGTCTGAGGCAGCGCTCCTCCCAAGGATCATCGACCACGCGGTCGGGAGAATTGAAACAACGCGACTTTCATCAGAAATCCATCATCAGCAGGTAGCGCCAGCCCCGGCTCGCGCGGAAACCACTTGTTGGCTGACCTGCACCAGTGCAGAGTCTCTGAGACAAGCCAGTGCACCCCGCGCGCACGGCAATGCTCAGCCTGGACAGCCACGCGCGCAGAAGCACGCAAACACGCGCGCGGTTGTCCACGCACATACCCACACGCGAAAACGCTAGAACTATGCCATCACCGGGATGACACATCGGCACGCGTGGCGGCCCGGGCAGGCCCAGGCCAGAGATGCCCCCGTACCCCGAGTTTCCTTGGCCTCAGCTCAGTAAGGCCGAGCTCTGACCAGTACCAAGGCGTAGAGCTCCTCCTCCTCATCTTCATCATCATCATCATCATCATCATCATCATCATCATCATCATCATCATCATCATCAACATTATCATCCTCATCAACATCATCATGCTCATCATCATCATCATCATCATCATCATCATCATCATCATCATCATCATCATCTGCATCATCATCATCATCATCATCATCATCATCATCATCATCATCATCATCATCATCATCATCATCATCATAATCATCATCATCATCATCATCATCATCATCATCATCATCATCATCATCATCATCATCATCATCATCATCACCACCATCATCATCATCATCATCATCATCATCATCATCATCTGCATCATCTGAATCATCATCATCATAATCTTCGCCACAATCAATCAGCATCAGCATCATCATCATTATCGTCATCATCACCGCCATACGTATCATCATTCGCTATCCTTATCCGCATCCTCATCCTCATCATACTCATCATTTGCAGCAGCACCACACTTATCATCAGCATCCTCATTGTCATCACCATCATCAGCAGCATTATGTTCGCCATCTTCCTCAGACGCATCATCATAATCATATTCAGACTCGTCATTAGTACCGGCAACATCATCACCAGCATCATCGTCATCATCGCCATCATCATTGTCTTCAGCATCAGCATCATCATCATCATCATCATCATCATCATCGGCATGACCATCCTCGTCAGCATCATCATCACTATTACCGTCATCGTTGACATTCTTATCATTACCAACATCCGCATCAATCATTACCATTATTCGAATCATCATCACCATCACCATCATCATCATCATCATCATCATCATCATCATCACCATCACCATCAGCATCATCATTATCCTCATCAGAATCGTGATAGTCATCGTCATCACCATCATCATCATCATCATCAGCAGCATCATCCGCCTATTCTTCCTCCTCCCTCCTCCATCCTCTCCCCCTCCTCGTCGTCCTCCTCAACCTCCGATTTCCCCTCCTCCTTCCCCCTCCCTCTTGGGGTATAACGGCTTCCACATCCCCTTAATTCCAGCGGCGGCCCCCCTCTCGCCGCCAATTCGCGCCGTCATTCGAGCGGCCGCGCGGCCATGGCTCCCGCGCGCTCCGGCGAATTGCGCGCGCGCACGATGCCGAGCTACGCGCGCGCACCCGCGCGCGAGGCATCACTTGCGTGCGGCCCCCGTGCGCACTCAAACGAGCGCCTGGCAACCGCCGGTGCATGGATGCGGACCGAGTGCAGCGTTCGAAACGAAACGCAACTCAACAGTGACAGCATGCTGGGCAGAGTGCCCTGTCGTGCGCACAGGCGTTGGGCAGGGCCCCCTTTGGCTGGCTTGAGGGCGGTCGCTTCGATCATTCTTCGGACAGGCTTCCCAAGGCCATAAGTCAGGCCCTTTGCACGTGGGACGCGCGCGCCACTTTCTTGGAATGCCGAAGCGACGCGATCGGCTGCCAATCTGACCCGCCCAGGAAGGACGGCGAGTGGGCAGGGGGCAGCGGGGTAGCACACGCATTGTTCTGCACGATACGTTTGCGCCCGCGGGGAGGTCTGGGCCAAAGCCGCGCCGCAGGACGCGGCTTGCTCGGCCTCCTCGCCTACGCGCGGGGCGAGGGGTATCAAGCAGTGGCGAAGCGTCCTGGCTCGCCTATATGCCCACCAAATAATGTTCTAAGAATCGTGTGTGGTTTCCACGAGATGTTCTTAGAACGTGTCTGGCTGGGACTGTCTTGTTTTAACACATCGGGCTTATGTTCTAAG